TCCTGGGATCTAGGGCCTGTCTGGAAGGACCCTGAAACACAATGTAGCAGGAAAAGGATTCAAATTGCAAGGCAAAAAAAAAAAAGATTGCACCTAAACATTATGAACTGTTTTTAGATGTCTTAATTCTCTGTTCTTTAATGTAGATGTTTACCAATTGTATTTTATTTTAAGACATTGAATTGTTGCCAATATGTGAGGCTGCTCTGAGTCTCCCTCAGGGTTGAGAAGTGCAGGGCACAAATATGGTAAATAAATAAATAAGAACTTCTTGATGATAAGATCTGTTTGGCAGTAGAATATGCTTCCAGATAGTCTGGTAGGGTCTCCTTCTCTGGAAATTCTCTGGGCCGGGCTGTAGCACAGCTGGTTAATCACTAGCAGCAATAAATCACTGCTGACTGGACGGTGGCAAGGTTGAAGCCCGAGTCGGGTTTGAGCTCCCCACTGTTAATAGCCCAGCTTACTGTTCGAAAACAGCTTTGCTGTGAGTAGAGAAATTAGGAACCACTTAAAGCAGGGAGGTCAATTTATGGCACCATAAAAAATCCCGGAGATCAAAGAGCAAGGAGGAAATACTATGATCAAAGACTCAGCATCATAGTGGAAGAAGCAACAGCTTCCCCCTGTGGTCGGAATTGAGCAAACTCCAGGAACTGCAGTTGGAAAAAATGCTGAATTACCTCTGTCTGTATTATTTATTTATTTATTTATTTATTTATTTATTTATTTCCTGCACTTGTAGACCCCCATTCTCAGCCCTAGGGCGACTCATGGCGGTGTACAACATATAAAAAACACAATAAAAGCAATATCATAAACAACAATAACAATCAATAATACAATTACACTAAGTCATTCGCGACGTCTCATCATAGAATCACAATCCAATCTCGTTATCCATATTCCGTTCCAATCATCATTGCCAATTGTTGTAGCACTTAGTCAAACGCCTTCTCAAACAACCACGTCTTTAGTCTCTTGCGGAATGTCATAAGGGAGGGCGCCTGTCTGATGTCTACAGGGAGGGTGTTCCACAGCCGGGGGGCCACCACTGAGAAGGCCCTATCCCTCGTCCCCACCAGGCGTGCCTGTGAGGCAGGTGGGATCGAGAGAAGGGCCTCCCCAGACGATCTCAAAGTCCTCGTGGGCTCATAGGCCGAGATGCGGTCAGACAGGTATTTTGGGCCGGAACCATTTAGGGCTTTGTAGGCCAACACCAGCACCTTGAATTGGGCCCGGTAGCAGATCGGCAGCCAGTGGAGCTGGTACAACAAGGGCGTTGTATGCTCCCTGCGTCCCGCTCCTGTTAGTAACATGGCTGCCGCGCGCTGGACTAGCTGAAGCTTCCGGGCCATCTTCAAGGGCAGCCCCACGTAGAGAGCGTTGCAGTAGTCAAGGCGGGATGTGACCAGACGTGTACTACCGTGGCCAAGTCAGACTTCCCGAGGTACGGGCGCAGCTGGCGCACGAGCCTGAGCTGTGCAAATGCTCCCCTGGTCACCGCCGAAACCTGGGGGTCCAGGCTCAACGATGAATCCAGGATCACACCCAAGCTGCGAACCTGCGCCTTCAAGGGGAGTGCGACCCCATCCAGCACAGGCTGTAACCCTATACCCTGTTCGGCCTTGCGACTGACCAGGAGTACCTCTGTCTTGTCTGAATTCAATTTGTTCGCCCTCATCCAGACCGTTACAGTGGCCAGGCACCGGTTCAGGACCTCGACAGCCTCCTTAGTAGCAGGTGGGAAGGAGTGACAGAGTTGGACATCATCTGCGTACAGATGGCACCGCACCCCGAAACTCCGGATGATCTCACCCAGCGGCTTCATGTAGATATTAAACAGCATGGGGGACAGTATAGAGCCCTGTGGAACCCCACAAGTCAAAGGCTGTGGCGTTGAACAGGTGTCCCCCAATAACACCTTCTGGGTGCGGCCCTCCAGAAATGACCGGAGCCACTGCAGAACAGTGCCCCCGAGGCCCATTTCCGCAAGACGCCCCAGAAGGATACCGTGGTCGACGGTATCGAAGGCCGCTGAGAGGTCCAGGAGCACCAACAGGGACACACTCCCCCTGTCTAGCTCCCGGCGCAGATCATCCACTAAGGCGACCAAGACTGTCTCAGTTCCATGTCCCGGTCTGAAACCAGACTGTGCCGAATCCAGATAATCCGTGTCTCTCAAGAATACCTGGAGTTGTGAGGCCACCACGCTTTCCATGACTTTGCCCAAAAAGGGGAGATTGGAAACAGGCCGAAAGTTGTCAAATTTAGTGGGGTCCAGTGATGGTTTTTTCAACAGCGGTTTTATAATAGCTTGTTTTAAGCTCGCTGGAATCGCCTTCCCGAAGGGAGGCATTAACCACCACCGTTACCCACTCAGCCAATCCCCCTCTGGCCTCCTTCAGAAGCCAGGATGGGCAGGGGTCTAGGATGGACGTAGTAGGCCTCATTCCTCCAAGTATCTTGTCCACATCCTCGGGCTTCACCAATTGAAAAGAATCCATCAAAATAGGACAAGCAGGTGCTCGTGTCACATCCTCAGAGACTGCATTTAATATGGTGTCCAGACCAGAACGGATCAAAGCGACTTTGTCCGCAAAGAACCGAGCAAATGCTTCGCAGCGCGTGGCCGAATTGTCAGGGCTCCCGTCTGAGATGGCGGGAGTTAAAAGACCTCTGACAATCCGGAACAACTCCGCCGGACGGTTCCTTGCAGACGCAATAGTGGCCGCAAAGAAAGTTTTCTTTGCGGCTTTTATTGCCGCGGCATATGCCCTTAGAAAGGACACAAACCGTGCTCGATTTGACTCGCTCGGGTCCGAACGCCACACGCTCTCTAGTTCCCTCTTCCTTCGCTTCATCACTGCCAGCTCCTCAGTAAACCAAGGAGCTGGTTTAGCTCGGCTACTTGAGAGGGGACGTTCCGGAGCGATCATGTCAATTGCCCTGGCCATCTCCCCATTCCAGAGAGCGACCAAGGCCTCGACATGGTCACCTACCGAGGTGGCGGGAAAATCCCCAAGAGCCGTCAGGAATCCGTTCGGATCCATAAGCCTCCTGGGGCGGACCACCTTAATGGGTCCTCCACCTTTGCAGAGGTTGGGGGGCGCAGTGAGCCTAAATCTGACCAGGAAGTGGTCGGTCCATGGCAACGGAGAGATGGTCAACTCCTCCACCCCGCCACCTTGCTCCCATCCCTGGCAGAAAACCAAGTCCAATGTATGTCCAGCACAGTGGGTGGGGCCAGATATTTGTTGGGACAGCCCCATGGTTGCCATGGCAGACATGAAGTCCTGAGCTGCTCCTGTGAGGGTCGCCTCGGCGTGGATATTGAAGTCTCCCAGCACGAGAAGCCGTTGAGACTCCAACGCCAGGCTCGAGACTACCCCCGCTAGCTCAGGTAGGGAGACTGTAGTGCAGCGAGGTGGACGGTACACTAACAGAATCCCTATTCTGTCCCGGTCACCCACCCTCAGGTGGACGCATTCAAAATTTGTGGTCTGCGGGATGGGACTCCTGGTCAGATGGATGGAATCTCTATAGACCACTGCGACCCCGCCTCCCCGTCCTCCGGATCTCGGTTGGTGCTGTACGGAGAAGCCTGGAGGACAAAGCTGGGGAAGATTTACGCCCCCAGCTTCATCCAGCCAGGTCTCCGTGATGCACGCCAGATCTGCCCGCTCATCCAGGATTAAGTCCTGGATAAAGGTCGTTTTTCCGTTGACAGATCTGGCGTTCAACAGCACCACCTTCAGTCCAGAGGGACCGCCAGCCTGGTTACACCAATTTACCATAGGAGACCAGTTTGGGATTATTAATGTAGATATGCGGTCCGAATTAGGCCGAATTTGTGGTCTCCTTTTCCCGCATCTCCCCTTCCCCACCACGACTTCTATGGAGGCCCCTCGGCTAGTGGAACACCTCCCCTCCTCCATGCCGCAATCCGAGACCATGGTCTCACTTTCTGTTCCATTAATGGTTGCTTGGATTGTTGGAGTTTTTTCTTGCCAGCTTTCTCCATTCCCTCTCTCCCCCCTCCCCACCTTATTGTTACTTGCGACCTCCAGCCCACTTCGTCCCTTGCCCCTTCCACAAGTCACTAATACCAAGGACAATACAATTAGGGGGATAGGGTACCGCATGAGTAATGATGGAATACTTCAAAAACCTGACAGTAGCAAAGTGCAGTAAACGTCACACCTGCGAACAGTTGGGGCAGTTCATAAAGTGCAAGAGTCTTAAGTGCAAACACAGTAGGCGTCACAGCTGCGTACCACTGGGGTAGTTCATAAAGTGCCAGGTCTAAAGTGCAACAGTACTCAAGTATAGTTCTAAGTGCTATCTAAAGTGCGGCATGGAGGGATAAGGGAATTAAGTGCTAGTTCGAATTAGCAGCCGAAGAGGCAGGGGCCATAAAGTGCTATACCAAGTTATTTGTGCCAATTGGCAACAGATAAACAAAGAACAATAAAGTGCTACAATTAGGCAATATGTAAACACATATTGGCATTGGCATTGAATGTTTGCTGTGTATGTGTGCATTGTGTGCATTGTGATCTGCCTTGAGTCCCCTTTGGGGGGTGAGAAGGGCGGAATATAAATACTGTAAATAATAAATAAATAAATTTTAAGCAGAGGCTGGACGGCCATTTTTCAGGAGCTTTGATTGGGTGTTGCTGCATGGCAGAATGGGGTTAGATTGGATGCCTTTTGGTGGGCCCCTTCCTACTCTAGCAGAAAATATACTTCCTGGGAGTCTAGTGGAGTTACCTTTGAAACAGAGACCAGATGAACCAGGAAGAAGTCAACTGTGTCTTTCTGCAGGGCAGGCAGTTGGACTGGTGGCCCTTGCAGTCTATTCCAACTCTAGAATTTTATGATTCTGTGATTTCAGATTATACACCTTTGGCAGAACCCATTGTGTTTGTTGTTTGACTGTAAATCACCATTTAAATAAATAAATATCAAGTTTTTAATATCTAAAAGGCACACAATAATGTACACAGCATGACAATAGGCAACAGCAATTTATTTAACAATCATATACATAATATAATGATGAATATTTATAGTCCCCACTGATATATTCTACACTCTACTCTGCACAATGCACCCTTTTTTTGCAAGTGGAATATCGAGACCCCCAATAAGCTCATCATGAAGATAAAGAGTTTGATCTCCAGCTACTTTTTCCAAAGACACCTGAGGTTCCAATTTTTTAAAAAGTTGCTTGGAAGAGACAAACAAAATGAAAGTGTCACTTATCCAGGGAATCCATTCCAGGATTTAGCCCAAATTTTAAAGTCTCTGCCCTAGGTGCTGAAGCTACTTAGCTTCTTTGAAGCAATACTTTCCAAACTTTGATCCTTCAGAAGGTTCAATTCTCAAAAGCTTTAACAAACAGCAATAAATAAGTACATGATATATGTTACACTCTGCACTATACACCTTTTCTTGGAAGTGGAATATCAACACCCTCAACAAGCTCAGAGTTTGGACTATAGCTATTTTTCCCAAAGAAACCTGAATTTTTTTAAGAAGTTGTTTGGAAGAGGTGAACAAAGTGAAAGTGTCACCTATCCAGTGAATCTACTCCAGGTTTTAGCCCAAGCTTCAAAGAAGGTGCTCGGTTGCTGAAAGTACTTGGCTTGTCTAAACATCTGGTTTCCAAACTTTGGTCCTCTGGGTGTTTGGGATTGAATTTCTAGAAGCTTTAAAATGCAGCGATATATAAACCGATATAATTTCTTTTCTTGATATATTTTATTAGGGGATGTGGCGAGGAACTGCACACACTTTATATGGATGGGGTGGTGTTGATATTCCCATTATAGGAGTTTGGTTGAGTTCTTTGACTCCTTCTGGCAGCTGGAAGCGGAAGGCCCTCAACAGGTTGGTCAAGAAGAGGAAGTACTCAGTTCTCGCAAGTTGCTCTCCCAGACACACCCGGGCCCCTGAAGAGGAAATAAAGAAAGTGAGTATATATATATATGTATATATATATATATATATATATATATGTATGTCAGCATATCTGAGTGGTTATGGGAAAAGAATATGAATGGGAACTTATAGTTGTTGGGGTTCAGCCTCCATGTGAACCTGAGCCTCAATCTCTGTGTGGACCTGAACCTGATTCTCTTATTGTATTTCCTGATGCTACTGAACATGTATCTTTCCCTGATGGTTTTGAAACTGTTGATTCTGAGGTCAGTGGCGGGAAAAGTGAAACTAAACATCCTGATGAGACATCAGGGTTCTAAATCCTGATGTTTTAGAACTAAGCAGTGATAGCTCTTCAGAGGAACTCACACCTGGGTTTTTTAATGAGGATCGAAGAGAACAGATTTGGAAAAACAGGAGTGAATCGCAGTTCCTACAAAGGTCAAGTAGATTACGGGAAAGGGAGGCTCAGGCTTCAAAGTCTGGAGGCGTGTCAATAAACAGTTTCTTTAGTTTAAGGGGCCTCCCAGGGCTGTCTCATTAGATCAAGCATCGTTTTAGACTGAGGCATCACCTTGGCAGATTTCCTGCATTCCATGGCCTGCATTCCCAGAGGCTTCTAGTTTTCAAGTACGGTTAGTGATATGCTAACAGGTTCCTGATTCTTGTATTGTTGCTTTTGGAATTTTGCTCTAGTTCAGAGATTTTCCTGACTGCTGAGTTTCTACTGTGGCTTTTTGACTTTGCATTTACCTTTCTTTTGTAACCATTTTTCATCAATAAAAAGGATTGTTTTTTCCCACAGTGCAGTGTGATGGATTTAATCTTATGGTCTCGTTTCCTGATCTGAGATGCAATAATAGTCCATTCTTTTTGCCAAAGTGCGCGTCTACATTGGACAAAAGCTTGAGACTTTGTTGGAGATACTCTTCTACTTGTTAGAATTATACACACACACACACACATGAGGTCCTTTCCATCCCCGTCTACTGCTTGAGATATTCCAAGACTAATCGTGACTTTTTGTCCGCTTGCCCTGAATTCAAATATTCATTGCTACTTCTTTTCCATTCAAGGATCTTCTGATACAGGCCAGCAAAAATTCCCATGTCTGTATCAATTGTCTCTGTTCTCTTGAAACTTCTGGGTAACCCTCCACTGACAAATGGAAACCACATTAATCCTACAATGCAGATGCATCCAAAGTTATTTTTCCTGACTTGACCTCACACTTCTCTCCCAAACCTGATGTAAATGTTATTCTCATCCATGCTCCAACTGCCAGCAGAAGAAACCTGGTAAATAGGTGGGATGGGGGCATAGTAATTGTCGCAGTAGTGTTTCAGTCATAACCCAGTAATAATTGTGAATATGAAACTGTTGCTTGCATTTACTCATCTATATAAATAAAAATGTAACATTCGTTTGTGGGATTAACAGAACTCAAAAACCACTGGACGAATTGACACCAAATTTGGACACAAGACACCTAACAACCTAATGTATGTCCTTCACTCAAAAAAATTGATTTTGTCATTTGGGAGTTGTAGTTGCTGGGATTTATAGTTAACTTACAATCAAAGAGCATTCTGAACCCCACCAACGATGGAATTGAACCAAACTTGGCACACAGTTCTCCCATGATCAACAGAAAATACTGGAAGGGTTCGGTGGGCAGTGTCCTTTGGTTTTGGAGTTGTAATTCACCTACAGCCAGAGATCACTGTGGACTCAAACAATGATGGATCTGGACCAAACCCTACACAAATACTCAATATGCCCAAATGTGAACACTGGTGGAGTTTGAGGAAAATAGAATCTTGACATTTGGAAGTTGTGGTTGCTGGGATTTTTATTTCACCTACAATCACATTGCATTCTGAACCCCACCAATGATAGAATTGGGGCAAACCTTCCACACATAACCCCCTTGTGGGCCACAGCAATGGGTGGCAGGGGGTGGCTAGTTTGTAACTAATTTGAATTCACAATCTCTACTTAATCACAATGTTACATCCCTTAATTAAGTTAACTCATAATTAATGGTAAGATGCACTGTAAACTCTTTCCATCTCTTTGAAGTATCTTTTTATTGTAGATATTTACTGAATTTTGTTAGAAAAAATGACTACTTAACTAACTACTTAAATAGATACCGGATTTTGGGCGTGGTTTCTCAACATTTCTACAAGTTTGGACTTCTAGATTTACCTGCGCCAAATGGCAGAAATTCTTCTCTAGCCACAAAATTCCTCTCCTTGTCCAAGAAATGATTTGGATTGAACTTTTCAGGAGTCTCCCATTGCTGAGGATCAAGAAGAACAGAGCGTACATTTGGTATAATAACGGTCCCCTGAAAGAAAAATAAAGTGATACACGTGAGAACATTTCTCTTGGATCTGCAAATTCAGTGGGAATGAGCTGTGTACACCAATACTCACAAAGTCAGGTGCCAGCCTAGCTAACTACCATCCTGCTTCTGAATATCATCACTAGCAGATAAAGTCAGTTCCACATATGTGCACTTATAGTCCCTTTGGTCAATGAGGAATGAGTACTGTGGAATTATTGCATCCTGCCACTACTTGAACTTCCATGGCTCAGTACTATAGAATCCTGGGAGTTGTAGTTTGGTGAAGTAACAGCATTCTTAGGTAGAGAAGGGGAAAGGCATTGTAAAATCACAACTCCCAGAATTCCGTAGTATTAAGCCATAGCAGCTCAAGTGGTGTCAAACTGCGTAGATGCACCTATTGTGGTTATTTATATGATCCCAGTTAAGAATGTGACACCATGTGCTGATAAATATGCACAATATAAGAATTCTCCACTACATGGCTAGAATTCAGGTTACTTCCACTTAAAATAGACCCACTGAATCCATAGTTAAATGCCAGTTCAAGACATAGGCTTCAATAGGTCTACTCTAGCTGGGATTAACAATATGACTCAGATCTATATGAAATGTTTACTCTTGTGGAACTTTACTTATATAACCTTGAACAGAACATATTCGTCCCCTACATTTCATTGGATGGGTAGGAAAAGTAATCTAGATGATGTTCTTATTGTTCACATAAACAACTTGTTAATAAAGAAATGTCGCCTTGGTGGATGACCTCCGTAGAGAGCTGGACAGGGGGAGTGCGACTCTGTTGGTTCTCTTGGACATCTCAGCGGCTTTCGATACCATCGATCATGGTATCCTTCTGGGTCATCTCTCTGGGATGGACCTTGGGGGCACGGTTTTGTCGTGGCTCCGGTCCTTCCTGAAGGGACGAACCCAGATGGTGAAGCTGGGAGACGCCTGCTCGGATCCCTGGCCTTTGACCTGTGGGGTCCCGCAAGGCTGTATTCTGTCTCCCATGCTTTTTAACATCTACATGAAACCGCTGGGAGAGGTCATCCGGAGTTTTGAAGTTGGGTGCCATCTCTACGCAGATGACACACAACTCTACTACTCTTTTCCACCTAATTACAAGGAGGCCTCTCGGGTGCTGGACGAGTGCCTGGCCGCTGTGTCTATCTGGATGAGGAGGAACAAGCTGAAGATCAATCCCGACAAGACAGAGGTCCTCCTGGTCGGTCGCAAACTGGATCGGGGTATAGGGTGGCAACCTGTGTTGGACGGGGTTACACTCCCCCTGAAGCCACAGGTCCGCAGTTTGGGAGTCCTCTTGCATACATCGCTCATGCTTGAGGCTCAGGCGTCGGCGGTGTCCTGGAGGGCTTTTGCACAATTGAGACTTGTGCGCCAGCTGCGACCGTACCTCACGAAGGCTGATCTGGCTGGGGTGGTCCATGCCTTGGTCACCTCTAGATTGGATTACTGCAATGCGCTCTACGTAGGGCTGCCCTTGAAAACAGCTCGGAAATTCCAACTGGTCCAACGGGCAGCAGCCAGGATGTTAACCGGGGCTCATTACAGAGAGAGGTCAACCCTCCTGTTYAAGGAGCTCCACTGGCTGCCGTTTATTTTCCGAGCCCAATTTAAGGTGCAGGTGCTTACCTACAAAGCCCTGAACGGTTTGGGACCACCCTACCTGCATGACCCCATCTCCGTCTACGAACCCACRCGCTCACTTCGGTCATCTGGAGAGGCCCTGCTCGTGATCCCGCCTGCRTCGCAAGCGCGCTTGGTGGGGACTCAAGACAGGGCCTTTTCTGTAGTGCCCCCCCCCCACTCTGGAACGCCCTCCCAAAAGATCTCAGACAGGCCCCTACATTGGCAGTCTTCAGAAAGAGCTTGAAGACCTGGCTATTCCGATGTGCCTTCTCAGATTAGGAACCTCCAATACCAAGTCCTAGAAGCACTTTAGTAGAACTAACATTGCTGCACACCGCACACTGCACTTACTTTATAATCCTACATACCTCCTGCCACATCAGCACTTTTAATCTTGTACCCATTACTTTGGCCCGGCCCAGTTTTATAGTGTCTTGATGAATTGTTTATTGTTTGTTGTTCATACTGCTTAACTGTTTTTAATTTGCTTTAGGCATTGTACTGTTGTATTGTGTTTTGAGGCCTTGGCCTATGTAAGCCGCATCGAGTCCTTCGGGAGATGCTAGCGGGGTACAAATAAAGTAATAATAATAATAATAATAATAATAATAATAATAATAATAATGTCTTTATGAGACTTGGCAAAAAGCTTCACAACATTTCACATCTTTTCCATCCCCAACTCCAAAAACCATCAATATGTCAAACAATGGGTATTCATCTCAGTTCATCCACAAGTTTCATGATTATTTCTATAATAAATACTAGATATTAACACATAATTGTATTATTATTGTATTTATATTTATACCTCAGGCTTTCTCTGCCAAAAGAGACTCAAAGCAGTCAACACTAAAAATGATAGCAATGTGTGAATTAAAACTTAATGTCACAAGAAATATGATGAGCAGATTTGATAAATGGAGATTTGAAATATGATATATAGTTTGAATGGAATTGAATGAAAGATGAATGCATGAGAGTTAATAATTTTGGAAACACCATTCTAAAAGATTAAGGCCTGCAATGACCAAATCATTAACTGCCTGCTTCATGGACTGTAATTAAAAGTTGCTAATGAGAATTGAAAAAGTAAACTGTAATAAGAACTGTGACAGTGGTAAGATAAATGTTTACATCTGTCAACATTTGCTGAGCAGAAAGCAGATTTACTCTAAAGGAAATGATCTCTGTTTTACATTAGTCAAAGACAATGCTCTTTCAAGTCAAACTCAGAACACAATAGTTTGTTACCTGAAGATCAACATCTACATCAGGAGATGAAGACTCAAGATCATTTCAAACAGGACAATTATTTGCTAATTATTTTAACATGGTCCCTTTCTGGCACTTCTAACACTTTAATAGTCTAAGGACTCCTAGCCCAGCCCTCCAATTGTACATCCTTGCTCAGCCCTCCAATTGCTGCACTTTCCCCTGGTACTACATAGGAATTGCTGCACTTAGCAATTATGAGCCATACCCAGCATTTTATTGTTTGGCTATGATATTGTTTTTAATTGTTTTTAAAATGTTGTTTGATGTTATGTTTATTGATATTTGATATTGACGGTGGGGTTTTTTGTGCTTGTTTTTAACCTGTATTTGTTTGGGTATGTCCCTTGTAAGCCGCCCTGAGTCTCTTCGGGAAGATGAAGGCGGGATATAAAAATTAAGTTATTACTACATCAGCAAAATATTCCTATAAAAGACTCAATCTAATAATTCTCAAGTGTGACAGACCAGAAGAGTCTGGCTCACCCGCTATGCTATGGTCCATTAGGAAGGAGAGAGAGTGTACCATGGAGAGTGTGAGATCTGCTATGGGAAAGCAGGATTCTGTAAACTTTGGGATCTTTTCTCAAGAGAAGAGGAAGGAATACATTTTGGAGTCATTTGAGTCATAGCAGGGAGTCAGGTTCTGCTATATGGAAAACAGGGATTTGATCCTTGTTATTTTGGCATTTTGGTGTTATGGAAGTTCTGGAACCATGTGTTGGCAGCCTGCAGGGAAGCAGGGTCTAGTCTAACAGGCGTTCTTCTCCAAGGAGGGGGAAAAGATATGGTAATATTTGGATGTATGCATGAGGATGCATGTATATACATGTGGTGTGAATATTGAGTAAAAATGTAATTGCCCTTTCTTTGTTAGCCAATGTAACTGTAAGCTCTTTGTGAATCCAATGTAATTACATAGAATCTGTATGTCTGTATGTATGTCCAATGTCGTTCTTTGTGTAAAAGTGTAAAAGTGCTGTAAAAGTTCTGATATACCCTCTCAAATTGAACATTGCAATAAAAAGAACTTGGTTTAAAAAGTATTCATGACACTAATGTATATAAACATTACAATAAAATTAAGCATATAAAAATTAGCAATGCATAGTTAAAAAGTAATGAAGCTATTGCACAAGTGTACTAAATTGTACAAAACACAGCATTCCCTGGCTCAGTCTTAACAACTTTCTTCTTTAAGACCATTTCTGAAAAGAAAGGTCTAAGCCTGCCACCAGAAGGACAGCAAGACCTTTCTTTTTGCACTACACAAGATATTAATGATAAACAATAGAACTTTATTTATATTCTGCCCTCTCTCCCCGATGGGACTCAGGACAGAAAAGATTGTTGTTTTTTGAAGGAGATGATGGAGGGGGTCGTTTTTATTTATTTAGGGAGGGAGTTCCAGAGGTGGGGGGGAGGCAATCACAGAGAAGGCCCCCTCTCTCTCATTCCCACCAACCACACTTGAGATGTGGGTGGGACTGAGAGAAGAGCCTCCTCTGATGATTGCAGTGTTCGAGATGATATATAAGAGCAGATGTGATTTGACAGATAGCCTGGACCTGAGCTGTTTAGGGCTTTAAAGGTAATGACCAGCACTTTGTATCTAGCCCGGAAGCAGATTGGTAGCCAGTTGAGCTGCCACAACATGGGAGTGGTTGTCTCCCTGTGTTGGGCTCCTGTTAATAACCTGGCTGCTGATCTAGTTGAAGCTTCCCAACTGTCTTCAAAGGCAGTCCCATGCAGGGAGTGTTGCAATAGTTTAGATGGTATGTGACTAAGGTGTGGACTACCATGGCCAAGTATGGTGTCTCAAGGTACGGGTGCAGCTGACGCACAAGTTTTAACTGTGCAATGGCACTCCTGGCCACTTCTGATACCCGAGGTTCTAGGGTCAGTAATGGATCCACGATCACCCCCAGACTGCAGGCCTGTGTCTTCGGGGGGGGGGGTGACCCCCATCCAACACAGACTGTAACTCTACACCCTGTTCTGCCTTATGACTGACCAGGAGTACCTCTGTGTTGTCTGGATTTCATCTCAACTTGTTAGCCCTCATCCAGTCCATTAGTGATGACAGGCACCAGTTTAGGAACAGAATGGCATCCTTGACATGAGGTGGAAAGGAGTAATGAAGATATATGAACACGTTTCTCAAAAAGTCATCCAGTGGAGCATATATGGGATATATCTTAGCAGGCCCTAGCCAGGATTTTGATTCGGGGGGGGGGGGGGGGGGCTGAGTCTGAGTGAAAGAGGGTCTACCCTAGCATATCTTTTGTATCGTTACCCCAATACCCCCATGCATATGAGATATATTGAGCATGGTGATCAGATCATGATATGAATAAACATAACAGTTTAAATAATGTACCAGTAAGGTCTTTTCGCAGACCACCATGAGGATTTCGAGGGGGGGGCTGAAGCCCCCCCCCCCCCCGGCTACATGCCTGTATCTTAGGATATTTGCAAGTGCAGCCATGACAACATTCTGTACCTTGGGAATGTGAAAGCCCCTCAGGTTCATGTCTTTGGTTGATTGTCTTGGGAAGCCAACTAACAAGATATATTTTGAACGCTGGATCTCATGAAACACAGCATTCGTATAAGGAAGTTTCTTTAAGTCTTGATAGCAGATGGAGGAGGAAACCAAAACGTCTTCTATCTCCTTGTGGACTTTATCTGGGGAAAACGGTAGAAACGGATGGAAGTTTTGCTTCAAAAAAGAACCTTGAGAAACCATTGGTGATTTTTGACCCAATGAGATTATATATATATGAGCATATTAATATAAATGCAACACACTTGAATGACACTCAACCACAGTCGGTTTGCTTCATTTCCATCAAACCTTTCCTCCAACTAGTTCAAGTCAGTGGGTTGTTGTAGGTTTTTTTGGGCTATATGGCCATGTTCTAGAGGCATTCTCTCCTGATGTTTCGCCTGCATCTATGGCAAGCATCCTCAGAGGTAGTGAGGTCTCTTCCCTCCCTCCCTCCTTGCCTTCCTTCCTCCTCTATGGTGTCAAAGGGGGCTTCTTCTTCCCAGCAGCTCCCTCAGAAAAGTTCCCACCAGTGGGGTGGTCAGCCAATGGGAGGCGGACCCTGCTCTCCCTTGATTAGCTGGGCTGAGGAAGGTCACACCAGGCAGCGTGCCTTCCCTGGCGATTTCAGCACCAGCAGCAGTGGGGATGCGGCAGCTGGTTTGTCTGAGAGCGGCTGGTTTGTCTGAGAGCGGCTGAAACTGGGTTTGCTTTGGGCCTTCAGCCCAGTTTTTGCCTCCTGGAACTTCTTCCTCAGCTGGCCTTGGGCTCCCTCCCTGTATTGAGTATTTATGCCAAGTTTAGTGCAGATCTATCATTGTTTGAATCCACAGTGCTCTCTGGATGTACTCTCTTTGAATACCCTACTTTGTGGATTTTCGCTTATCGCGGGTGGTCCTGGAACGTAACCCCCGCAATACATTTTAACAGCATTACAATTCTCACAATAAGGTTTTTTAAAGTAAGACTTGCTCCCATTGCACATAGATCTCTCTTACCCTGTATATCTGGATGATTTGTCAAAAGGAGGATTGCCCATTTCAAGGCAGTGGCAGTCGTTTCTGTTCCTGTAACAAATAAGTCACGAATGCACTGAGCCAGGTTTTCCTCATCATATGTAGAGTCAGGATCATTCTTGCTCTGAAAATAAACACAAGAAAGGTGAAATTTTAATGTATAATGAATTAAAGGCATGACTTCATACCTTTCTTTACTTCTGCAGCCACATATTGTTTTAGCAGAAAATCTGGATATTTTTAGACTTTGTGGTTCCTTGGATTTTGGATTTCCAGACAAGAAATGCTCAATCTGTAATAGAATGGAAGGGCAGCACTCTTAGATTCTCTCTAGATGAGAAATAATGCTCTCTGAAAGTCCCAAGTTTTGTTTCTGCACAAATCAATTTCATTTTGAAGATCCACGTGACATTTTCAGCATCCTGAAGTATTTCTGGGGGTTCTTGGATTAGCAACAACTTAATTAATACATGATTTTCTGATGTGAAACATTTATTTATTCATTTATTTGCAGTATTTATATTCTGCCCTTCTCACCCCGCAGAGAATTCAGGGCGGATCACAATGCACATATATATGGCAAACATTCAATGCCATAGACAAGCAACATATATAGACAGACACACAGAGGCTATTTAACTTTCCAGCTTCATGAGGGTATGCTTTTGAATTCCGGCCACCAGGGGAGCTGTCATGTCACCATCCACTTGTGACACCAATGGAGTACTTCCTCATTCTTTTGCATGCTGCTGGAGAGTTTTATGGCATCGTAAATTAGTTAAATTAGCCTCCCTGCATAAGCGGTACCTAAATTTCCTACTTGAGAGGTGCAACAKGGGTAGTCAAGGCTCTTCTGGACTCTTGGACCAGTTCTTCAACACRCTTCTGGGATGAGCTTCGTGTATTCCAAGTAGACTGGAASGTACTTAGTCCTAATCTTTTTTTAATACTGGTTTTAAACCACTTCATTGGATGGGTTGCAATAGCAGATTCCCAGATTAGTTTAGTGTTTACACCTTATTTTATTTTTCTGGTTATTTAATATTTAATGTTTATTTTACTTAAGTGATATTTGTCTTGACTGTTCTAATGTAGCACAAATCCTATGCAAAATCATACTACGTATTTTTGACATTAATATTGAAATCAGCTGCATTCCTACATATCTCTACCTGCTTTGTATGATTCTRCAATCTGAGAATTAGCTGAGATAACCACTGCTGGTAAACACACCTATTGCTTCCAGGACAAAGATTAAACAGAGGGGAAGTGAAACAAAATAATCCTAACATTTAACCATTGTTATTTGCTAAAACACTTTAGAACTCTCTATAACTTCTGAATAATAATAAAGTGGAAATTATTAAAAATCTATTTCTGAAATGTCTTGTTCTAGATATGAAATAGGAATACCAAGATATGGAGAAGAAAGAACACAAGGGACAGGAATAAGGTATATTTTTTAAAAAGGATTTGGGTATACAGATAAAATCCAAAGAAGAATGGGAAACTCTCACATAACTGAGTATATCAAGGCAAATAATCCACAGTATCTGCTGTGAACTGGACTATCTGTGTCTACACTGCCATATAATCCAGTTCAGTGTAGATTTTATACAGCTATGTGGAAAGGTCTCAGAGACTTTCCCCCTTTCTGGAAAATTCCAGATACAAAACTTACTTTCTCCATTTGAAGTAGATAGAAATCAATGAAGTCCTGTGGCTCATGGTAGGAGTTGTCCTCCTTGTGTTTCTCTATTTTCTTCTTTGCTAATGAAAGCAGCATGTTTGAAGCATCAAAAGCCTTTCTGTGAAGTCCAGGAAGTTTTTCCATGAGCCATGGCATTACTTCATACAGCTAAAGGGAAGACAAAAGTGAGATCCGGCCTATATGTTCAACCTGTAGCATAAATCTAGAAAGATGTAGTTGCACAACCAATTGTTTCTCTTGTCAATATGACAACCATCCAGAATTCACAATGATGTTTCCCTAGTTCAAGCAAATGCAGTGGCACGTTGAATATTTGACACCTTACATGAATGCACAACTGCATGACTGGGATTTTTGTGGTTAGTCCCAATTGGATCAGACCCATTTAATCAACTGAATGGTCAACTGACACATAGGTAATTGCAGTTGAGTCAGTGGCTCTACAGTGATCTAAACTAACAATAGCAGGAGGCCCTTATGAAATGGTTATGCTTCTGGGACTTTGCTGGTGCAATAAGGATCAACCAGGGAACAAATTTGCTTATTTCACTGGCCAAAAAAGTACAACCAGACATTGAAGATAAGTTACATGAATAATATCAATCCAGTTCCAGCCATTGCAGTGAAAAACTCGGATTATGGGTTCTTTTTTTTAACTAACTAAAGATTTAACTGATGATCAGGAAAACAAAAACCCTAGAACATTTCAGGGATCCCTCTCCTAAGAAAGGACTTGTTTTTAGGGAAGGTTGGAAGACAGACACATTCATATAGTTTGTATCAGACCTGAAATAGTTTTCTAAGATCTACAGAGACACTCGCTGGAACACCTCAGCAAGCGAGAGTCCAAAAGTGGCAGGCTCAAATCCAGAACCTCAATCAATGGCTGATACCAAATGAGAGACTCCCCCCCGGCTACACAGAAGACTGGGCGACTTGGTAGGCGCTGAACAGACTACGCTCTGGCACCACGAGATGCAGAGCCAACCTCAAGAAATGGGGCCACAAAGTGGAATCCACGACATGCGAGTGTGGAGAAGAGCAAACCACAGACCACCTGCTGCAATGCACCCTGAACCCTGCCACATGCACAATGGAGGACCTTCTTGCGGCAACACCAGAGGCACTCCAAGTGGCCAGATACTGGTCAAAGGACATTTAATCAACTACCAAGCTTGCAAACTCTGTTTTGTCTGTTTTGGCCTCTGAGGAAGCTTGCCATAGATGCAGGCGAAACGTCAGGAGAAATGCCTCTAGAACATGGCCATATAGCCCGAAAAAACCCACAAGAACTCTGTTTTGTCTGTTTGTTAAAAACTTGTTAAAAATGTAATACAATTGTCTGGTTGATACTGACACTATAAATAAATAAATATCAGACCTGAACAACATAGCAATAGGTAATGACCAAAATGAACTCCTAACTTCAAGCAATTGTGTTTAGGCCATGAGATAAGGACCTATGACTGAGGATGAATTAAAACCTAATTTGTTTTTTCAAAATTCCTAGAGATTATAGCCTATTAAATTCTATTTTTGGGCTCTTCTAGACAGGCTTTTAACTCACAACCTGCCTCAGTTTTACCTCTGGTAAGGCTGAATTAATCTGGAGAAAACTGGGATATCTCAGTTTTCTCCAGATCAATTAAACACTTGGAAAGATCGGGACCTTTGCAGGTGAGGGCCCTGTGTGGATTGACTCCTGTGACTGCTTTCACAGCCCTGGGGTCAATCCTCACAGCAATCCCAGTAGTTTGGGTGCCTGAAGGAGTGGGGTGGCACCCACCCACTCCCCTCCGAGCTCCTCCATCCCTGTGCCAAAGAAAATACTTACTGAGGGGCCTGCCGGGAGAAAACGGGGATGTCTCAGTTTTCTCCAGATCAATAAAACACCTGGAAAGATCTGGACCTTTGCAGGTGAGGGCCCTGTGTGGATTGACTCCTGCGACGGCTTTCACAGCCCTGGGGTCAATCCTCACAGCAATTCCTGTTCTTTGGGTGCCTGAAGGAGTGGGGTGGCACCCACCCACTCCCCTCCGAGCTCCTCCATTCCTGTGCCAAAGAAAATACTTACTGAAGGGCCTGCCAGGAGCACTGTTCCCTCTGGTGAGCTCTCTCAATGTGCAGAAATGATGCATCAGGAGATGAGGGCAGGGTGGAGGTTGACCTGGATGGCTTGTAGCCACCCCCAGAGGGAAAGCCTAGGGTTTTGGTTGGGGATGCGGACTAAATCCTGGGTCTAAATCCCAGGCAGAAATAGGATTTAATATCCCAGTTCCTCCTGGGATTTAGTTATGTCTGAAAGACCCCTAACTTAGTTCATAAGAAAAAGCTCACTTACTGCATGAGAGAAGCTTCCTATGGCTCTTAAAGCAAGATCAACGGCTTCAATTAATTTCTTGAAGTTTTCATCTTCAAGAGAAAACCGTTGTCCAAATGTCAGAGCACATATCACATTAGAGACAGAATTTGTGATGGCCATTGAAGGATCAAATGGTTGCCCTGTAAAAAAAAGTTCTGTTAATCTGAATTCAATGTCTTATGCTAATAGAAGTTGTTCTTTCTTTGGGTGGAGATAAATTGTTAACATCATCATGAGTTTACTATTGCATTACAATTTAATTGAAATATGTTCGATTCCTCTCCAGAACATATAATGTATACCATATAATGATATCTATAGGCTGAGACAAGTGGCAGAACCAGCACCTAATACCAGGCCTGTTGCCGAGTGAGGGGAGGGGTGGTTAGGGGTTCTATTTTGGCAGATGAAACTTTGGATGTGAGTACCTCAGAACAGTTATTGCTCTCAGTAAGGTACGTTGATGTCAAATTTGTAGGAATAAGATGATATAGACTTTCTGAAGATAACCGATGTGACAGGTAGAGGACTTGCAGACATTATTTTGAAAACACTGGAAAAATTGGGCTTAACTTGCAATACTTTTATGCACAGGGTTATGATGGAGCTGCTAATATGAGTGGTCATATTAGTGGAGCACAGGCAATTATATTGCAGAAGTATCCAATGGCTGGCTGCATTGACTGCAGTGCTCACTCATTAAATCTAGTGTTAGCAAAGATTTCCACCATTCCACCTGTCAGAAACTGCCAAGGAACAGTATAATCTGTGTACAATTTCTTCAGAGCATCATCTATCAGACTAGATAGATGATGCCAATAAAAAAATTGAAGAAAAAAATATAATCAAGAGCAAACCACCTGTTGTTTATTTATTTATTTACTTTATTTATATACCACTTTTCTCAGCCCTCAGGCGACAACCGTTGTGCAAACTGTTAGGCTGAGCGACTCGATGTAGTTTTACGTTTTGTTAATCTGGACAGTGTGGTGGTGAGAACACTTGAAGAACTAAAAGAGAGTCTTCTACACAACCGTGATATTCCATCCCAAGCTGGACACCTTCTTTTTGTTGTTCTGAATGGTGAAGTTGTGCCTAATTTGGAAGGTGACTACAGAAGACCTAAGAAAGCTTCTGTCATCATCTCTTCAGCTTAGCAAAACATTACGAAGAGTAGATGTGGACATTTTCTGTAGTCTGCAACATGTTGACAGTCTCTTAGAAAAAGAGATGTACATAGAATCTGTGAAAGATTCCTCACGTCTGTTCAAGGCAGACATGTAAAAGCATCATGTAAGTAACTTCACCAACACCAATGAAATATTATAGGCTAAATGTGTTCATCCAATTTGTTGACTTTTTATGTAGTCAGCTTCAAGAAAGGTTTACAAGGCACAGAGGAGTGGTTCAGGAACTGCAAGGGCACCTCTCTATTAAATGTAACTATTTAAAATCCAACTCAAACAAGTGCATAGAACTTTACAATGAATGTGTTCAAGTTACTGACACACTAATGGAAGAATCTGACCTGTGGTGTGAAAAATGGGAAAAGGTTACACATGCAGAAAATCTGGACTTGCACTCTTGAGTGTCCTCCAAAATTTATACATGGAGCCTGATTGCTGCCAAAGTGTATTAACACAGTTTTCAAGTGTTTTCAGTAAGGGGGTATTGAGGTAACCACAAAATTACCAATTAAATGCCATTTTCAGGTTTTTTTAGATTTTAATCTTTGTAACTAAAATAGAAATTTGATCTAAGTGCATATAAAAATATAGAATGAATAATATAATTTAAATTATTTGTGTTATGAACCTACTTTTCATGTTTTGCTTGAAAAATGTTTCAACCCCTCCCAAAAAGTTTTCTGGTTACGGGCCTGCCTAATACTACATACCTTTTTCACGTGCAAATATCTCTACAAGTTGCTGGGCTTCTGCTTCGATTTGGCTTTCCATGCCTTTTTTCCCCAATCCCAGTTTCCGCAGGGAATGTAGCCCAAACCGTCTCTGCTGCTTCCATGTGTGACCGTTTGAAAGTGCAACACCTGCAGGCATCCAAATGTAATTAGTAGCTACAAAATTCATGCCAAAATATTTAAGTTGCTAGTCAAGACAAGGCAACCTTTACTACAGAATATGAAATGTGTCCATATATTGGATATGCTTTTAATACCAAGAGCGTCCTTTGCTGACTTGATACAGAACCAGTCTTTATTATGGTGAAACACAGAGAGAAGTCACTGTCAGTATGGTGTAATGGTCTAAGTTTTGGAAGATGACTACAGAAGATCAGCATTTGAATCCCTGCTTAGCCTTTGAGATGATCGTGGGCAGGTCACATTCTCTTAGCCTCAGAGGAAGGCAAAGATAAAAACTTTCTGAACAAATTTTTCAAAGACAACCTTACGATAGAACCATCTTAAGGTTGCCATAATTTGAAAATGCTTTGAAGTATACCATAGTTTCGAGAGGTGCACAAAAATGGTTCCGGGTGGTCCAACCCCATTCTAACCTTCAGCCAGTAGAAATGGATCGATGTTCAGCCAAAATACACAAGCCTAACAGCAGTTAAAATTGTGTCAAACTGCATTAATTCTACAGTGTAGAGGCATCCAAATACTTGCTGCTGAATCAAACTACTTTCTCCATGAAGAAGTCTTAGCCATTCTTAGCCATTGAAGGGCTAAAAGTATTGAGAAGTCAGATGGTCCCAGATATCTTACAATTCATACTGTAATCGAAAGGTGTCGGTTGTAGCGAGTGATAAAGATTATGGCAGCTGGAATAATTCCATCAGCGCTGCCTGCGGAAAATCCTGTAAATCTCTTGGGAAGACAGGCAGACAAATGTCAGCATGCTGGAAGAAGCAAAGATCACCAGCATTGAAGGGATAGTCCTCTGCCATCAACTCCACTGGACTGGCCATGTTGTCCAAATGCCCAATCACCATCTCCCAAAGCAGTTACTCTACTCCCAACTCAAGAACAGAAAACATATTGTTGGTGGTGTCACGTTGCCAGAGCTCTACCTTATTTAGGTAGAGATGAACCAAACTCCCAGTTTTATCAAACAGTTTAATTAAAATAGCACTTACTTGCTGGCTGTTTTAATAGACCAAAACATAAAACATAAAGATAGCACCCAGCCACAGAATGAACAAAAACTGATAGCAAAAACAACTCCGTAGTCAAAAGGGTCCAGTCCAGTGGTCAAATGCCAAGAGTTCAATAAAAAAAAGTCCAGGGATCAAGAGTCTATACCGTAGTCAAAAGCCAGTCCAAAGGTTCAAGGTTCCAGGATTCCAAGATTACAGGAGACAGGTCAGGATACCGAAAAATCCAACAGACCTGGGGGAAAAACCAGCAGCATCCACCACCAAAATACAACAGATACTTTTCTCCCAAAGATAAGTCTCAAGGTTAGCTATTTAAATCCAGTAACACCCAGCTGCAACCCATGAACTCCCACTTACAGATTACCAAACCCTCTAGAACGAATACTCACATTAACCCTTCCATCACCCACCACCATCAATTGCAGAACATATGACAGGTGGACAGGAAAAGAGATTTTAAAGCCAATCTCAAATACTGTGGCATAAACAAGGAGAACTGGGAAGCCTTCGCCCTTGAGCACTCTAATTGGAGGTCAGCTGTGACCAGTAGTGCTACAAAATTTGAAGAGGCACGAATGGAAGGCGAAAGAGGGAAACGTGCCAAGAGGAAGGTGTGTCAAGCCAACCCTGACCGGGACCACCTTATATCTGGAAACCGATGTCCTCACTGCAGGAGAACATGCAGATCAAGAATAGGGCTCCACAGCCACCTACGGACCCACCACCAAGACACCACATCTGGAAGACCATCATCCTCGAGCTACAAGGGATCACCTAAGTAAGTAAGTAAGTAAGTATGGCAGCATGAGAGAAAATTGGTATTACATTTATACCACCAAAATAACAAGCATTAGAAGCAGTATCTTTTAATTGGTGGTTTTGTTTGTGTCCAAAGATATGGTTCCTTCCTTTGACTATTTTTAAAGATTCCTTTTCAGTCTACCTTAAATGGGATTAGGTATTTGTCCTATCATTTTAATCAATGTGATTACTTATAGATTTCTATTCCCAAGAGGTTGTAAAAAAAATTTTATGTTCTTAAATATAAACCAGCATTGAGAAGGTGCTTTTGGGGGTATCTGAGACTATCTAATGATAGGTGAACATACGGAAATTAAAATTTATTGGGATTTGTAGTTTGGTGAGGCTCAAAGATTTTATGAAACTCACCAAACCACACATTCTATGATTCCACAGCAATGAGCCATGGCAGTTAAAGTGGTGTCAAACTGCGTTACTTATGCAGTGTAGATTCAGCCTATGTGGCAGTCCTAGTGCCAAAGAAAAAAGCTGGCAGGTACATTACAGTTGGTATTTCCATAGCTCACATTCTTAGTGTTGAAAAAGATGAAGGAAAGGAGAAAAAAGGACAGTGGCAACACCACATTCTGAGAGGCTGAAGCTTTCACAGAGCAATCATTTCTCCTTGCCTATTTTCCCTAAAGAAAAGTCTAGTGTAGCCTCTTCATAACTTACCCTTTCCTTGTCCTATTGCTCTAAAGAAAGGAGTCAGTGGCCTGTCAGATAATTCTTCCAAGTGGTTGACCAATCCTTCTTTGACAGCATGGAATCCAGACAGTACCACCACAGGTAAATTTGCCACCCACAGGGTATAAATGTTTCCGTATTGTTTTGCCAGCTGCCATTGGGAACAAAATAAGAGAAAGAAATGTTTCACTTGATGAATCAAGTTATTTCAGATTAACATGTAAACATCTACTCTCCTCGAGCCCTTATTTCTGCAGCTTCTACCCTCTCTGGTGCCCTGTTTTCCAGTTTTCTATACCCCCTCAGATTGCTGTTGAAGTCTTCTCTACTCTTCTTCATGTTCCCAGAACAATACTGAAGTTGAACATGACCCCCCCCCCAAATAAAATACAGTAACTTATAGTTTTGCTAAGGACAAGGACACCAGACTGGATAATAAGGGTTAAGCCTTGGTCAATTTGCCAAGACACTAACAACAACAAGGACCCTTCCCATGTTAGATAGGGTGTACATTTAATCAAGGTTTTATGCCCTGTGTTTCATATATAGCAGAAGATAACACATTTATTACTGAGAAACCACCTCCCTTTACACTTATGTACTCTCTTGAACTTCTATGGGACTCTGGTGGGAGGGATAAGTTTTCTATATCATGATTTCTATATTTCTCCCTATGTACCTGAGCTTTCCCTGACCCTTTTGCCCAATTCCCCTTTATTGAAAAAATGTATAAAAATATAAGAAGCCACCTGTGTGACCCTGGAAAAGGAGGAAATGCTCAGTTGAAAAAAGAACCTTATCAAAAGACATTTCTTGCATGGACAATAACAATGGATCGTGACCCCTGGGCCTCGGAGTTGGGCCCCCCCAGGGGAGGCGGTCGCTTGGCATTAATGATCCTATCTCAATAGGACAAAGGAAGCCTTCGGAAAGCCACCCTTTGTCCTGACCTGTTACTCATTCAACTCATTTCTACTGAAACCACAGCCAAAATTCCCTCATTGTTCCTGTCTCTCAGCACAGGAAAAAACTGGATTATGGCAGGCTTGCAGCCACTCAAAGATAATAGAAAAGGCTGGCTCGCAGGCCCCCCTGGACTCGCTGACCACTTGGACTTTTCCTACTTCCATAATCCTCTCAAGAATCCATTGTTTCCCTCTCGTCCCGCCTCCCTCTCTCCTGATTCGTCAGGACACCGAGGCGGCAGAAGCCCAGAAATTGGCCCAGGCACTCAGGAGGCGGCCAAGCCTCCTCCCAGCTGTAGAGGCGCCAGCCAATCACCATCAAGCCGGCAGAGGGGTGGGGAGCAGGAAATTCAAATCTGACAACTCTGTTTCTGTATAAAAAGGCTTTTATTTGTGTACATATTATGCTCAGCTTGGCGGAATACTGCTGATTTGCATCCTTTTCAGCTGAATCGCAATAAAATCATCTTGGTGGCGCTTCCTTCAACTTTGGTGAGATTTCTTTTGGGAACTTAGGAAAAACCTTTTAAATTGGGCTTCTCTTTGCTCACCATTGTAGCGAGCCCTCTTTGGTGGGTCCACAAGGTCTCTCCTTCAGGGCCAGACCCTTTTAAATTCCTCCATGATTTCAGTACCTCTCCTAAACTTCCTTATGAGTTCCTATATGGAAGTAAAGGTTTACAGAATAATCTTTGCACAACATTGTGGATCTTAGGTGACTCAACTAGCTCATACCGTGAGATAAAATGTGTCAAACAGCTTGGGTCTGAGCCATATAGGGCTTAACTAATATAACACAGCCCAACAAAAAGTTGCTTGCTGTCTTTGTTTTTAGGCCAGTCCCTGGGGTTACTTGGGTGCAAATTTAGAAAACTGCAGTTGATAGACCTCATCAACTTAAATTTCTTAGAGATGGCAATCATGTTGTTTTCATGGGCATATGAAGATGGCATATGTTCTGTATCTTAAAAACTAGAGCTGATAGGGGGAAACTGGTGCCATTTTTGGAATCGGCAGGTCAGAAACAGGACTAACATTCAATGCACCAAAATGTGTGTTGGCCAGTGTAATCTATGAAAATAGGTGAGAATAATTTTCTGAAATGTTGATTGAGACTAAACGTGGCATGGAATAAATGGAAGGAGAAAGGGGAAACCAGGGATATTTAAAGGCCATGACTAGGCTTGAAGACACTGGCTTCAAACTACAGGAAAGGAGATTCCAGCTGAACATTAGGAAGAACTTCCTGACTGTGAGTTCTGTTCAGCAGTGGAACTCCCTGTCCCAGAGTGTGGTAGAGGCTCCTTCGTTGGAGGCTCTAAAGCTGCGGCTGGATGGTCATCTGTCAGGGGTGCTTTGAATGTGATTTTCCTGCTTCTTGGCAGAATGGGGTTGGACTGGATGGCCCACAAGGTCTCTTCCAACTCTATAATTCTATGATTCTATGAATAATCAAAATAAAAATGATTGAAAATTCTCAGTACATTCAGTTAATTTTTCTCCATTATCAGACACTCAAAATCATTTTGAACTTTCTTTAGACCACTGAGAGATTTCTTCCAAAATGTATATGGGGGACATTTTTTCTTTCTTTCTCCAGTCTCCGTCCTTTCTTTCTCCATTCTCCATCTCTGCCAGAAAAAAACCAAATTATGTGATTTGAACTGGATTATATGGCAGTGTAGACTCATATAATCCAGTTCAAAGCAGATAATGTGGATTATCTGCCTTGATATTCTGAAATATCAAACTTATGCTAAAAAATTGTTTTTAATTTTTTTATATATACAGCATGTTTGCACTCAGACATCACAGAGAGATAATAAGGCGCCATTGTCTTTGCTAAATATCTTACACAGCTACTGGTGAATTCTTGAGAAAGAAGTACCTTTATCAGAGTATCTTCACGATATCCAAACACAATTCGCCATAGGCCTCCAATGAAAGGAAGTGAAAGAGGTCCAGGAGGGTACGTTCGGAGTGATCGCTGTTGTCTCCAAAAGTACAGGATCAGGAGAACCACCAGGAGAGCAATCAAGTATGCCCACACTCCCTCCATTCTCCAAACTTCTCTTTGACTCTTTTCAACCTGAGATGGGTGAGGCTGAAAGAAGAAGGTTAGATGCTCTTTCTCCAGTCTTATATCTTTTCTCAATGCTGGTTCCACCCCTCCCTCTCTTCCCTACTCACACCTCTTTCATATACTTCATATGACAACACACTTCATATACTTCAACAAACGATTCATATTTGAGCCAAGTAGTCTTAACAATCTGCCTTCTGGGCATTTTCCATAGGAGCACATAGCAGTTTTCTGATATGTCAGAAAGTCTACACTGCCAAATTGTGGTGTTGGAGGAAAGTTCTGAGAGTGCCTTGGACTGCGAGAAGATCCAACCAGTCCATACTTCAGGAAATAAAGCTCGACTGCTCATTGGAGGGAAGGAGACTAGAGACAAAGATGAAGTACTTTGGACATGTAATGAGAAGAAAGGAAAGCTTAGAGAAGACAATGATGCTGGGGAAAATGGAAGTAAAAAGGAATAGGGGACGACCAAAGGCAAGATGGATGGATGGGATCCTTGAAGTGACTGGATTGACCTTGAAGGAGCTGGGGGTGGTGACGGCCAACAGGGAGTTCTGGCGTGGGCTGGTCCATGAGGTCACGAAGAGTCGGAGATGACTGAATGAATGAACAACACTGCCAAATAATCCAATTCAAAGCACAGAATTTGGATTTGATATGGCAGTGTATAAGGAAACTGAAAGGAACATAACTAGAGACTGCAACTTCTCCAAGATCACCCTTTGAGTTTCATGGATCAGTGGAGCCTCTGCATGAGATAAATTAGTACCAGAAATCTGGGAAATCCTATGCCAGATACTACATTGATAGGAATATTGATAGAAAGCATTACTGGAGATAAAAGATACAGTTTATTCAAGATACAACTATTTAGCAAACAACATAATCTGTGCCGGGATAAAAACGACATGTTTTATGTAAAGGTATGCCTTGTTCCAGTATTTTTCAGAATGCTGGCAAACATATGAGCTTGAATGGACCAATATATAATTGGCTTTAATCTCATGGCATCAAACAAACCTATACATGTGTGGAATGCCCCTCCCAACACCTCAAAGGCCCAACTGATGCCAAACGCATGCCTTTTACAGGCCAACTTAAAACTTGGCTGATCACCAAAGCTTTAGGTCTCATTAAGCTTTAAAATAATAAATTTATTTCAACTGATTATATTGTTTAGTATACTTTATCTCACTATTTAAAAGCAATTTGTAAGCCAAAATGAGACTTAGGGAGGAAAAGAACCAAAGGGAGGAGTAGAACATGTTGTTGTCATCTTACATACCTTACATAAGCAATTGGGTGTTTTTCTGTGATTGTGTAACAGACATATGCAGTTCAAGATTATGCAAATTCCTCTTCACATGCTATTGTAATTGCCTTCTTCTTCATATCACCTTCTGCCCGCTATACTAGAACTTCAGCAGGGTCCTAATCCTGCAAAGACTAGAGTCATGATGCTGCAAAGAGCTAGAAACTTCACTCGAATTGGAGGCAGTTTAACATCTTTCTTTAGCTTTAGGCCTCATCAGTGTTTCTCATCCTGGGGGTCGGGACCCCTAGGGGGGTCGCGAGACGATTTCAGAGGGGTCACCAAAGACTATCAGAAAACATATATTTCTGATGGTCCCAGGAACCCCTTGGACAGAGAAGGTCTCGCCACATGTTCTTCTCTTCCTTTTTGGAAATGGGTGGCAAATCTTCCCACAAAAAGCCCTCTTCCGGCCTCTCAGTCAAGGGGAGGGCTGTTTCTGAGACTCCAGGCGGGGAAGGGAGAGCAGGCATGCTCAGCACATGGCAGTGTGGTGCACATGTGTGGGTGAGGGACAGCATGTGAGGCTGGAGAGAGGCTCATGCCGCCGTGTTCCTTCAAGACATGGGGGTTCTGTGTGGGAAGTTTGGCACAATTCTATTGTTGCTGAGGTTCAGAATGCTCTTTGATTGTAAGTGAACTATAAATCCCAGAAACTACAACTCCCAAATGTCAAGCTCTGTTTCCCCCAAACTCCACCAATGTTCACATTTGGGCATATTGAGTGTGACGGCGCGAGTGGCGCCACCTATACGTATAACTGTTAGTTGCAAGATTTAAACTGTTGTATCATGCTTAATCCTGCCCTTTTATCCTGCCTATGTATAGTTGGATTGATTGGTTATTTATAGCTGTCAATCAATGTTGTTTGCACCAGTTGAATTGCTCTCTCAGCAAAATTGTTTGGCTCCACCTCTTCCTGGAGGAGGGGAGTACTTCCCTTTTTCATTCCACCATCAGATTTTCTACCAGATGGACGTGAGTAAGAGACTTGGCTCTAAAAGCCCCTGATAAAGTTACCTCTCAGCACCAATTCTGAGGTTCTTACCCTTGAGACTTATGCTTCATGTTCAGACCAACCTGAACAACGTAGGGAAGTCTCAAGCGCCTTCAAACCAGTTTCTTTGGCACCAGAGGAAGACCCTGTGTCTTCAAACATAGGCCATCTGGACTGGGGTTGTGGATTGCTCCAGCATTTACAGCCATTAAGAAAGAGGGACCTGGAAAAGCTTCTCAGCTGCAAAACACCTTGGACCCAAGACAACCAGAGACTGTAATGTATATTTTCCTTCACCCCTTTGAAACTTCCAGCTTATTGCTTTAAAGAGATAACTCTTTGTGAAGAATAAAAACTTTTTTGAGTTATCTACAGTGTTTTGGTCTTTGGGAGTTCCAGTTTCCTAAAGGAGGGCAAGAAGCAATCCCCTGGGGAAAGATGTCATGTCCATGCCTCTTTCACTAAGAGTTATAGCCCCCAGGTGCGACGGCACATTGAGTATGCTTATCAGATATTTACATTACGATTCACATAACAGCAGCAATATTAGAGTTATGAAATAGCAACAAAAATAATTTTATGGTTGGCGGTCACCACAACATGAGGACCTGTATTAAGGGGTCATGGCATTAAGAAGGTTGAGAACCACTGCTCTAAATATTTTCTGTTGGGAAAATGGTTTGATCCTTCATAATGCTTTTTTTAGACGAGAAGCTACAAAGAAAAATAGTGACAACGGGTTAAACAGTTGAACAGTTGAATCTGCCGACCTATAGGTTGGCAGTTCGAAGCCGTGGTTCAGGGTGAGCTCCCACTGCTAGCCCTAGCTCCTGTCAACCTAGCAGTTCCAAAACATGCAAATATGAGTAGATCAATAGGTACCGCTTCAGTGGGAAGCGCCCCCGGTGGCGCCCCCGGTGGCGCAGTGGGTTAAACCCCTGTGCCAGCAGGACTGAAGACCGACAGGTCGCAGGTTCGAATTCGGGGAGAGGCAGATGAGCTCCCTCTATCAGCTCCAGCTTTTCATGCGGGGACATGAGAGAAGCCTCCCACAAGGATGATAAAAACATCAAATCATCCGGGCGTCCCCTGGGCAACGTCCTTGCAGACGGCCAATTCTCTCACACCAGAAGTGACTTGCAGTTTCTCAAGTCGCTCCTGACACGACAAAAAAAAAGTGAGAAGGTAATAAAGTCACCCATGCAGCCATAGCGGCAACAAAACAGAGCTACAGACAACATGCTTCTCGACTTGGAAATGGAACAGGAACACTTCCCCATGGCCAGAGTTGAGCACCGCCTCCAGAAAGCTGGAAATGAAAGGGAAAGCCTTTACCTTTGTTTTGTTTAGTCTTTGTATGTCATTGTTATGTCCACTGTATTAAAGGCACTGAATGTTTGCCTATCTGTGTATGTTGTAATCCACTCTGAGTCTTCTTGGGGAGTTATAATGGAGTGTAAATAAAGATATTTTAATATAAAGACTAGCAACAATACGGGCAAGGGGCAACAAAATGAATTGCAACATAGATATGAATGGTGATGGTGACAATGAGTGTCAGTGTTGCTCCTACCTACATAAAAGAAATGGATTTTTTGTATTGTCAAAGGCTTTCATGGCTGGAATCACTAGGTTCTTGCGGGTTTTTTTGGGCTATAGGGCCATGTTCTAGAGACATTTCTCCTGACGTTTCACCTGCATCTATGGCAAGCATCCTCAGAGGTAGTGAGGTCTGTTGGAATTAGGACAATGGGTTTATATATCTGTGGAATGGCTGGGGTGGGGCAAAGAGCTCTTCTCTGCTGGAGCTAGGTGTGAATGTTTCAACTGATCATCTTCATTAGCATTTGAAGGCCTGGCTGAGCCTGGGAAAATCTTTTGTTGAGAGGTGTTAAGATGTGCCTGGTTTTTTCATAGATTTTCAATTGATTTTTCAATGGATTTTTTCATAGTTAAGATTTCAGGAATGCTATATCATTTGTATGTTAGTGACTCTTGATATTCAAGACCAGATAAGGGAACATGAAACCCGGAAGTCTAGATATATTGATAATAGGATGTTTATCTTATCAAATGTAAAGCAGTTGGAATGAATCACATCCTTTTCCAGAACGGTAGCTTATCAGTGATCTTCTCTCCCTCTTCCAGTATTCGTATGGTAATATTGATGTAGCTAATCATACTAAGCAATTAAAGCTTATTGACATCAATTAAATTGTCTGAAATGTGTAGGTTGCTGAGGTACTTAAAATTCCCTGATACATTATTCTGGATTACAGAACTAGAGCATTCTACCAGAGGATTCTAAGTACATCACCAAACTATAAATCCCAACTTCCATATAATGGAGCCATGCCCAGTGTGTAACACATCTCACCATGCTAAAACAGTGGATGTGGCTCTTAATGAGACATGCCACATTATCACAGGATGTCTACGCTTTACACCACTAGAGAAGTTACACTGTTTAGCCGGGATTGCACTACTTGACATCTGTCGGGAAGCAGCAGCCAATAATGAAAGGCCCAAGGCAGTGACATCTTTGGCCCATCACTTGTTCAGATATCAGGCAGAACGCCAATGCCTTAAATCAAGAAATAGTTTTCTAAGATCGACAGAAATACTTGCAGGAACGCCCCAGCAAGCGAGAGTCCAAAAGTGGCAGGCTCAAACCCAGAACCTCAACCCATGGTTGATACCAAATGAGAGACTCCCTCCTGGGCATGTAGAAGACTGGGTGACTTGAAAGGTACTGAACAGACTGTGCTCTGGCACCACAACCTGCAGAGCCAACCTTAAGAAATGGGGCCACAAAATGGAGTCAATGACATGCCAGTGTGGAGAAGAACAAACCACAGACCACCTATTACAATGCAGTCTGAGCCCTGCCATATGCTCAATGGAGGGCCACCAGAGGCATTCCAAGTGGCCAGCTGCTGGTCAAAGGACATTTAGTATAATGCCAAGTTTTTAAAACTTTGTGTTTTTTAAATACTCATATATTGCAGCATATAAGATAACTGGGCCTATAAAACGACCCCCAACTTTTCCAGTTAAAATATAGAGTTTGGGATATACTCGCCGTATAAGACTACCCCTCATCCAACACAGACCAAATAAAAATGTTTAAAAGCATCAGATTTGATTTCAATATGGTAATTTTCCTATTACTGTACCTCCTTCGCTACCTCTCAGATCTCACACATGCACCCGTGCACCACTTTGCTGCAGTCTTCAGGAGTGAAATCTGAGAGGCAGAGGAGGAGTTTTGTTTTTGTTTTTGTTTTTGTTTTTTTGTTTTTTGTCGTGTCAGGACTTGAGAAGCTGCAAGTCGCTTCTGGTGTGAGAGAATTGGCCATCTGCAAGGACGTTGCCCAGGGGACGCCTGGATGATTTGATGTTTTTATCATCCTTGTGGGAGGCTTCTCTCATGTCCCCACATGAGGAGCTGGAGCTGATAGAGGGAGCTCATCCACCTCTCCTCGGATTCGAACCTGTGACCTGTTGGTCTTCAGTCCTGCCGGCACAGGGGTTTAACCCACTGTGCCACCGGGGGCTCCAGAGAGGAGGAGATAAGGTAATAGGATACAAGGGCAGGCCAGACAGGTAAAAGAGTTGTGTTTTTCTGGGCCCAGGGCCACTCCATCTCTTTTTTTCATACCCCAGGCGCCCTGGATGCCTGCAGCTTGCTCTGCCCTTCACTTAAACCTTCCCGGTGAGACACCCCTTCACCTCACCTTCGGGACCGCATTAAGTCCACGAATCCTGATAAATGGAATTTCTTCTACCATACTTGTACAGCGTCACCATTAATGCTTTCATACAGTCGCTGCATATGACAGGGAGACGGCCACTGCCATTGTTGAGCTCCCCCCATAATATGCAGCAACCACAGATTCTCCAATCTGGATTGGAAGTTTCAGCACCCGCTCTATAAGACGACTCCTGACGTATAAGACTACTCCCGCATATAAGACTCCCATGCATAAGGCTACTCCAGCGTATAAGACAACTCCCGTGTATAAGACTACTCCCACGTATAAGACGACTCCCATGTATAAGACAACCCCTGACTTTTGAGAAAATATTATTGGGTTCAAAAGTAGTCTTATACGCTCCAGAAGATACTGAAGAGAAGAATACTCCTAAAACCTGAATCCTACTTACTAGGACTAACAGATAATAAGTGGGATAAGGAGATAGATAAACTATTTAGTTATCTAATCACAGTAGCCCGCATTCTACTGGCCAGAGTATGGAGACAAGCCATGATCCCTACAAAGGAAGAATGGATGGAAAAAATAATGGACTTCATGAACATGGACCAACTAACATATATATTAGCATCCCTACGAAATACACCTATAAAAGCAACAGACTGGAACCCTGTTAAGGACTGGTTAAAGGAAAACAAGATAAAGATACTAATTTGAACTTAACTAATAGTAAGAGGAATAGGATTAATAATATGATAGACAAAGCAAGAAAAAAAGGGAAGGAAAAAGGAAGAAAAGAGAAATGAAAGAAAGGTGAAAACACTGTTGCCTGCCAATGGGAAAGAAACAACGTCAAAAAGCTGTTTTAGAGAAATTTTTGAAATTTCAAAATTTCTACTAGAGAAGGGTGGAGGTCTCGAGAACGACGATTTCGTTTGTATCTATATGTGTTTAGATAGTATATTTTTCTTTATGTGAGTGAATGTATAGGTGTGCGGGTGTATGTGTGCGTATGTTTATGTGTATATGTGGGTGTAGACATGTATATATATGCATGTATATGTGTATAAATCTGTATATATATATATATAGAGAGAGAGAGAGAGAGAGAGTTTGGTTTTTTGTTCTATGTTCTTCTCTTCCTTTTATTGTCTATTTTTTCTTCTTCTTCATGCTCTTTTCTTTCTTCTTCTTATTCTTTTTCCGATTTATGACTTATAAACCAGACATGTGATTTTATCGTATATTTGTATACTTGAAAACTTAATAAAAAATATTTTTTTTAAAAAGTAGTCTTATACGCCAGAATATATGGTACATTACAACTGTACCCTTGGTTTGCTTCTGATACGATAAAAATGCAGTTAAAGAAGCATCAAATGCCTGTAATTATGTAGCATGGGTACGACGACCCAAGCACTATATCCTTCTATGCTTTTAAAAGATTTTATTGCCTTGATTCCTGTAATTCTGTAGTTTGGATACACCCACCCAATGTCCCCCTATGACTTTTTTTTCTTTGATGTATTTGCAAGCTGTTGTTAGGTTTTGTAAGTACTGTGTTCCTTTTGTTTCATTTTTTAGATGCTTGTGGGCAGAAAGATGATGACGATCACCATTCCAGGGCCAAGTTAAAACATGACTTTTTATTGAAGCCTCTGCAGCAGAATACCTTTATCTGGCATACATACCAAATGGTTTAAATTGTTTGAAATGGTAATACAGCTCAATCTGTTTCAGACTTTAGTTCATGTTTATAGCTTCTCTCAATATAGGGTGTGTCTACAAAGTGCTTGTAATGCAATAGGAGGTATAAACCATTTACATCGTAACATAAAGAAACAGGAAAAACTTTTGGGGTTGCAAAATTACATTGTGGCACCAAGGAGGAAGAAATCCCCCATGCTAAGGTAAGACTGTCGAGGAGTCAGCTTTTTATCCCGCTTAAGAACAACAACGAGAACATCGTAAATATCCCTTCTTATCCTCTTTATGCGTAACTTCAAATCAACCCGCAATAGCACACCAAGTTCTGAACATGGAAGAAAGGAATTTACGAGCAGCCAACTAAAGCCAAACTTTGGATAAGAAGGGCGAAAGAGAAGAAAACAAACCTTCCAGATGTGCCCACGGTTCTGTTTCAACTTTCTCTCGCCATGAAGGTCACACTTTGAGTAAACAAGAGCAGGCACTGAAGGCAGTCCTTTTGTGAAGAGAGGCGTCTCATAGGAAATTGGAGGGACGTAACCAATTGGAATAGCTTTTACAAGCAAATACATACCAGAGCAAAGTGCTCTCTTGCAGAATTGGAGGCGCTTAACCAAACTGTCCATCATCATTAGGTTCCCTAGTCATACCATTCATACACATAGCAGAGTCCTCTGGTGGGGAATTGGAGTTATTTAACCAATGGAAATAGCATTCATATACAAACATCTGTGTCTGAAGTTGCTGCGGTGCAGAGAGAAGCAAGGGCTCCACTCGTTCCTTCCCTTGGTACCATATGACTCTGCCAATTGACAGTGTCCCTGCCAATCTGGAAAAGAAGGCCTCAAGATGCATTTTGAAGCATTGCCAGCAATTTCCACAGATTAGCATGACAGCCAGATTAGTTACAGGAATATCTAGGAGTGACCTATCCTAAAGTCACTCCATGCATTGCCAATTAGTTTCTGGGCAAAGTACAAAATGCTGGTTTTGACCTTTAAAGCCCTACATGGTTTGTGTGGATCGGGTCTTTTCCTGCACAGTCCACCCTTTAGGACACAGGTTTTCTGGAGGACGTTTCCTTTAACCAGTCAGAACCCTACTAATGACAGTCACCTAAAGGACCTCTTCCTCACCCCCAAAAGACTGTAGAATGACCTGCCAAAGGAAGAGATTCCACAGCTAAATGAGCTGTCAGAATTTAAGACACAATTGAAGACCCACCCCTTCCTGCAGGCCTACACGGTCAGCTTTCAATCATGAGTTTTGTTTTAGATTGTATTGCTTTCTTGTTGTTGTTGTTCATTCATTCAGTCGTTTCCGACTCTTCGTGACCTCATGAACCAGCCCACACCAGAGCTCCCTGTCACACCCCCAGCTCCTTCAAGGTCAATCCAGTCACTTCAAGGATCCATCCATCCATCTTGCCCTTGGTCAGCCCCTCTTCCTTTTCCTTCCATTTTCCCCAGCATCATTGTCTTCTCTAAGCTTTCCTTTCTTCTCATGATGTGGCCAAAGTACTTCATCTTGGCCTCTACTATCCTTCCCTCCAATGAGCAGTCGGGCTTTATTTCCTGAAGTATGGACTGGTTGGATCTTCTCGTCCAAGGCACTCTCAGAACTTTCCTCCAACACCACAGTTCAAAAACATCTATCTTCCTTCGCTCAGCCTTCCTTATGGTCCAGCTCTCACATCTGTAGGTGACTATGGGGAATACCATTGCTTTAACTATGCGGATCTTCGTTGCCAGTGTGATGTCTCTACTCTTCACTATTTTATCGAGATTGGACATTGCTCTCCTCCCAAGAAGTAAGCATCTCCTGATTTCCTGGCTGCAGTCTGCATCTGCAGTAATCTTTGCACCTAGAAATACAAAGTCTGTCACTTCCTCCACGTTTTCTCCCTCTATTTCCCAGTTGTCAATCATTCTTGTTGCCATAATCTTGGTTTTTTTTTTATGTTTAGCTGCAACCCAGCTTTTGCACTTTCTTCTTTCACCTTGATTAGAAGGCTCCTCAGCTCCTCCTCACTTTCAGCCATCAAGGTGGTGTCATCTGCATATCTAAGGTTGTTAATGTTTCTTCCAGCTATTTTTACCTCAGCCTTGCATTCGTCAAGCCCTGCACATCACATGATGTGTTCTGCATACAAGTTGAATAGGTTGGATGAGAGTATACAACCCTGCCATAGGCTTTTCCCAATCTTGAACCAGTCTGTTGTTCCATAGTCAGCTCTTACTGTTACTACTTGGTCCTTATACAGATTCCTCCGGAGACAGACAAGGTGATTTGGTATGCCCAGACCACCGAGAACTTGCCACAATTTATTATGATCCACACAGTCAAAGGATTTAGAATAGTCAATAAAACAGAAATAGATGTTTGTATTACTACTATATGTCAATTCTGTATCTGTGTTTGGTGCAAGTTTTTAAAAATATTTTTGTGTTTTTCTATGTAATTTATTGTATATATTTTAAGTTAAAATGTTTTTGACTTTGCTGTACACTGCCTCAAACCATCAGGAGTAGTGGGTAATAAACTTGTGCGTGGAATTCATTTCTTCCATTTCCTGTTTGTTTCAATACCTTCGGTACTTTGGGAGCCCGTAACAGTAATGATCCTCCCAGTACAAAAACCCAACCAACGCGAAAGCAAGTGGGAGCCTATCTCAGCTCCTCTTCTGTTTTTTTTGGCATCACGGTTTAATATTTTTTTATTAATCCTCCAGTAAATAAAAACAAAACACTCATTCCCTGAAAACTACTTTCCTCTTCAGGAGGTCATTGCTCTTCCTTAGCTGGAAGTAGGAAGCCTGCTTAAAATGCATCAGAAAGTGTTCATGCATGGCTGCTGGCGTGGTGCAGCCCAGGAGAGAAAGTATGTGCATCTCTCCTCTAGAGGAAGAAACAGACAACTTGCCTAATTGCCTTGGAAAGAGTGTGTGCGGCCTGCATGCATGGGAGAGAAAGCATGCATGGACTGTGTGCATGGACTACTAAACTTAGAGGATTTAAAATTGTGTAAGATTTTCTCATTGATTCACTAGTATCAAGAAATAATTTCTGTGTGCTATTGCTATTCCAGAGTTCCCATACTGAGCTGTTAATGGGCACCAAGAGAGGACAAACTGCTCCTCTTAGGGCCCTTCCAAACAGCCATATAACCCAGAATATCAAGGCAGATAATCCACAATATTTGCTTTGAATTGGGTTATCTGAATCCACATGGCAATATAATCCAGTTCAATCCAGCTGTGAGGAAGGGACCTTAGAACACTCCCCTGTATTGTAGTGTTCTCAACCTGTGAGTCCCAGGTGTTTTGGCCAACAACTCCCAGAAATCCCAGTGTTGGAGTTCGGTCCGTGATTGTGTCTATTTATTTATTTATTTATTCATTTACCATATTTGTATACTGCCTTTCTCAGCCCAGAGGCAACTCAAGGTGGTTCACAGCCAGCAACGATTCAATGCCTCAACAATTATAAAACAATTTAAACAATCATAAAATACTATTAAAACATTTAACAATGATCAGGGTACTCTGGATGTTGGGAGTGACAATGAGGTTCATGTGTCTAATGATGAGGTTGCTCTAGATGCAGAGAATGACAATTGGATTCCTGTTCAAAGTGACTTTTCTGATTAGAATGTTCCTGAAAGGTTTGGGGATGATGGTATAGTCCCTGGAAGAGGGTCTGAATTGCTATCAGAGAATTCCCAAGGCTTTGAGCCTGAGAAAAGCTTGGCACCTGGGCCAGCTACAGAAATTAATGAGCCAGTAGATAGGAGGAATATTTTCAGTCAGCACAGACAGACAAACCAAGCTCTTGGGTGCTCTGCCAGACTGAGAGAGAGATTGATAACAGAGTCAAGGCTGAAAACAAATCCGTTCCTGGCCGCTTGGGATATAGAGTAGATTAGAGGATAGAAGTGCCAAGTACAGAATCTGTAGCCAGATGAAGCAATGTTGGAATTGAGTCAATACTTCTTCTCAGATCTCTGCAAGCCTTGCCTGGGATAGATTCATGTGCTAAGTACCTTGTTTGATTCATGATTCAAGTGTTGGTGTTTTACCTTGGAAGTTTCAGTATCTGTTTTTCATGAACTCTGATGGACTAATTTCCTGGACTACTTGTTTCTACTTATCGTTCTACCTAATTGGATTTACCTATTTTATAAATTGCTTTTTACTGCTATGGCTTTTAAAATATCTTCAATAAACTGCTTGAATTCTTACTCAGCTGTGTGGTGTTTAAAGTCAAAGAGCTTTCCTGACTTGGAGTGCAACACCCAGCCAGTTTACCAACTGTTAGGATATCTGTGAATTGAAGGCCAAAACATCTGAGGCCACACAGGTTGAAAACCACTGCTGCACTATATAATGTATCTAATTCCAATTTTTGAGAATCTGAAGTACACTTCAGATCATTCTGGTGTTTTTTTGTTATTATTAAATTTTAGTAGTGCATATGGCTCCCAGAAGGTCTCAGGGCATACAAATGGTCCCCAAATCTGAAACAGGTGTCCATCCCTGCTATATTTAATCTTCCAAAATGGCATTGTGATGTTACATTTTATGTTACCATTTAAGTCACCATCTATGAGAGAATGTATGATGCACTATAAATTGAAGAAAATATCACAGTATTTATACAACAAAATACTTTTTCTTAGAAAAGCAGTCTTTATACAAAGAGCCCTGTCGTGATCATTTGTGCATTAACAGCAGAAAAAATATACATTTTTCAGATAATCACAGTAGATTAACAAATCCATCCTCAAAGACGGTTTGCTGGGAAGTAAGTCCCACTGTACTCAGTATGAACTATTCCCAGGCAACTGTGTGCGGTTACAGCTTTAGAAACCAAATCCATCACAGATCTATCTTAAGTTCTGATAATGGTGCAAAGTTTAAAGACCAAGTGAACTGACCACGACAAGCCAGAATGGTGGGTCAGTTGAAAAGGAGTGAGGTAGGAAAGAACAGAATAATTGTTCTTATGGCTCATGTTGTGCTGAATCGGGGGATGGCACAAATTTTGTAAGGACGGGGATGCATTGTCAAGCCGACTATAGGTTCTTGATTGAGTTTTTTCACTCCTTCCGGCAGGTGGAAAGTGAACGCCCTCAGTAAGTTGGTCAAGAAAATGAAGAGCTCAATCCTTGCCATCTGTTCACCCACACATGAACGAGCTCCTGTAGGGAAAATATAGAGAAAACGCAAGTGAATATTCATCTTTTGCACCTAATACACAATTTGTTTTGTTCCCTAGGGCTAATAAGTTCAGGTTCAACCTCTCTTCCAAAGTGAGCCAACAGTAACTCCCATCAAGAACATGGGAAAAGCCGTAATGAGTCAAACCAATGATTTATATAGCCTGGCATCATCTTTCACAGTAGACAGAGGTCTATGGAGAAGCAAAAGCAAAAGATGAGCGAAATAGCACCCTCTCAAGGTGCTATAACCATTAGGCTTGTGCATTTCAGGTAAACCGTTATCCATTTCTGCTTGCTGGATATCGGAAGCCCCCCATATCCATTTTCCAGCACCTCCCAAAAATGGACGCCCTGCCAAATGAGCGTTTTCATTCAGCATCTGAAAAATGGTTCTTTTCAGCCCATTGGTGCAATGGGGAACTTCCAAGGCTTCCCTTTCCCTTGGGATCCTTTCATTTCCCCCCCCCCCCCCCCCCCCATCAAGGGAGCCTGGGTGTCAGCAACCCTATCCAGCCCATTATGGGAGCGAGGGGACTTCCCACAGGCTTCCCTTCCATAGCCTTCATTAAGATTTTAAAAAGCATCAGAGTTACCACTCTTAAGTTTATGGATCCTTTCCCTTCTATTTGTAGAGGAAGAGACTGGGTTTACTGTTTCTTAAAGCTGTTCTACTTTAGGTGGGTGTATCGGGTTTTTGTGCCAAATTTGGTTCAGTGAATGAAAATATATCCTGCATTTCAGATATTTACATGACGATTCATAACACTGACAAAATTACAGTTGTGAAGTAGCAACAAAAATAATTGTATGGTTGGGGATCACCACAACATGAGGAACTGTATTAAAGGGTCACGGCATTAGGAAGGTTGAGAGCCACTGTTCTAGGTTCTCCAGCACGACTCTCCAATTTGACCACAGAGTCTCACTGGAAGACCTAGAGATTTCCTGAAGGAACATATTAATCAAAACTGCCAATAATCAAATATGCAAATTTTAACCCTCCAAATGTGGTGACTATAATCTTTTATTCTCACACAAGATTATCAGTCATAGACATTAGTATATTACCTGCTCCAAATGGCAAAAATGCGTCTCTTGTCACAAAATTGCCTTCCTGGTCCAAAAAATGGTAGGGATTGAATTTATTGGGAGTTTCCCAATGCTTAGGATCAAAGAGAACAGAGCGTAAATCTGGAGCAATGAAGGCCCCCTGCAAAGATTGGGGAAAAAACAACAACAGCTGAAATATCCATCAAGATAAACACAGTTTTCATTCTCAGGAAAAAAAAGTTGGTGTTGGGTAGAGATAAAAGATGTTTGCCTGGAATAGCAAGACCATCCAAATATAACAGAGGGATGAATCTCATTATGAAAAGGTAACTTCATGGTAAACGGATTGAAGATCAAATCTGAAGATAAGTTTAGCATGTGACAAAAGATGTCTGTTTGCCACAGCAAGTGATTATCCTCAACTGGGTTCCTTGCTTTTACTGCTCTTTGCTTTATAATAGGTCACTTGCAGCTTAAATTGCAAGTGAAATCTGAGGAAATCCAGTTGTGGGAGGGAAAATGGGTTAATTCCCTGTTTCCCTGAAAATAAGACTGTGTCTTATATTAAGATTTGCTAGGTCTTATCTTCAGGGGATGTCTTATTTTTCCATGAAGAAGAATTCACATTTATGGTTGAACAAAAAAATGAACTTTTATTATATACTGTACAGTAGTTGTCAGTCTATATAAATAAAAATGTAATGATAGTTTGTGGGATTGATATAACTCAAAAACCACTGGACGAATTGACACCAAATTTGGACACAATACATCTATCAGGCCAACAAGTGACCATCACTCATGAAAACACTGAAAAACACAGTGGAAGGGACTTAAAAGCCAAAAAAGCAAAAAAACACTACAGTGCATGTGCAAAAGTGACTCTCCCTGGCAAACAACACACACAATAGCATATCTACACTCCCTACAGCTCCCAGAATCCCCTAGACCAGGCCCTTTAGGAGAGGAGGATGATCCAAATGTGCTGCTTCTAAGATGCAAGCTTTCTTCTACTTGGATTTCTTTGAGAGCATCCCAATCGCTGCATATTTCCAATTTCCTATTCCTGGACTCAGGCATGTATC